CTTTGGTCATTTTTAACTTCATACATTATTAGAACTGTTTGCAGTTTATTTATGTCATTACATTTTACAAATTTTGATTGTATGAAGTGGGTTAGTTTGATCCAAGTACTGAGCCGTGTTAATTACTATTAATGCTCTTGTTTGAATTATGAATAGTGACTGTAGTTCTCTAGTTATTTGTTCTGTAGTTATTTCCCCAAATCTCTGCACAGCAACTTCAATATGGTAAAAGTAAGGAACCGTACAAATTGCAGAGCACTTTTTTATCCAACACATTTAGTTTTGTTCAATATAGAAATACTTTTGGATATTTTACTTTGAGCATATCTGGAGTGAGGTTTCCAGTTCAGCTTATCAATAATAACACCAATAAATTTAACATCAGCATTTCAACAGTCACTTCATCTGTATTTTTACTTTTTTACATTATTTTGATTTTTCTCACATTTAAAGACAACTTGTTACAATCAAACCATACTTTTAGCCATTTCATTTCATCGGTGACCTCTTATAGCAACTGTTCCAGAGTATCTACAACCAAAAATGCATTTATATTATCAGCAAATAATCCAAGTTCCATTATTCCAGATATTTTGCATACATCAATTACATACATTAGAAAGAATTTAGGACCCACAACTGACCCCTGTGGAACCCCACAATCAATGTCAAAACACTGAACACACATTTCCCAGCAGTTTGACATCCTGTTGTCTGCCTCTTTAAATAACTTCTAACCCATCGTAACACAATCCCTCTAATCCCATATCTTCCAGCTTTTACAAGAGTAAATCATGTATCAAAAGCTATTTTTAATAAACAAACACTCGAGCAGCATTTTTGATTAACAGCAGTTATTTCTTCTATTGCTTCCAAAATGGCTAATGTTGTTGATCGTTTTGATCTGAACCCGTATTGATTTCCATTTACCAATACATTTATTTCTAACATTTTCAATCTATTATTGAACCGTTTTTCTAAAACTTTTGAGAATTGCAGTAACAGAGATACGGGTGTGTAGTTAGAAAATTGATTTCCTCTCCGATCTGAGCTCCGATATTTATGAATATACGGTGACATTCTCATCATTCTCAAACTGAATGAATTATTTATTTGTTTGTGTCTACATGTTGTCTAATGGCTCCTGCAAACTTTCAATCATGAACCTTTGACTAGTTGTGAGATGAATGGTTCTCAGCGAGTCATTTTTCATGCTACAGTACCACACCTTTAATCTATTCATTGATGCTTTTTTAATTATTTAATCTTTATTTGAACAGAATATACGCCTGTATCTAAATATTTTGTGACAATTTCCTGGCAATGTCAGTGTGAGCAGCAGGAATAAAAACACAGAGTGCTAAATAAAATATAATTTTAACCAACGCAACAAAGATGTAGTTACATGTGATTTGTAGAGCAAAGCCATCTGTTGTGTCTGTATGTGTCTATACTATTTTCAGTTTTATGTGAGTGAATAAATCAGAAGGCCATCCTGCTTCAAACTAAATACTTTATAGACTCTTACTAATGCAGTGAAGCATCACTTGGTCAATATTTATTGTTCAGTAGTAAAACACATTGCATGTGCTGTAAATAAAGTTAGCGCACGTCATTTTGTTGGGTAGTGATTACAGAAAAATGTATCATAATCTGAATTACTGTATATTTATGCAATTTTTATTACTAAGTTTTCACTTCATTTAAATGATAAAAAAAAATAAATCATGCTGCTTTTCTCCTTTTCCAGTCACTTATCTCTAAAAACAGCAACGCATTGACGTGTTTTTGGTGTAAAGAGCTGCAACAAAATAATCATGATGCAATATATGCATGAAACCATCTGTACACCAACGCACTCTCAAATCTATAAATGTATCCTGGCGTCCAGGGCATTCGAAACAAACGCTTCTTTAAAGATCCATCCATCATCTTTATCAGCTTCTTCCCTTTCGGGTCGCGGGGGTCACTGTTGCTCATGTCCAGCCATCGCTGTGCAGGAAGTGGTGGACACCTGGACAGGTCTCCCGTCCATCACATGGACACAGAGACAAGTGAAACAACCATTCACTCTCTCATTCACACCAGGGACGATTCAGTTACCTGTCAGTCTAACATGCATGTTTTTGGTCTGTGGGAGGGAACTAGAGTACCCGGAGAAAACCCACGCAGCACGGAAAGAACATGTAAACTCCACCAGAAAGGTCCACGGCCGGGATTTGATCCAGCGACCTTCTTGCTGAGAGGCAACAGCTCTACCCCTTGAGCCACCATGCTGCCATAAAATGCAAATGGTGTTTTATTGATTTATTCATTTTTACATTGCATTAATTATAAAAGGGTTCATTAATTTATTTGATAAGGTGCAGCTGTTTTACTGGAAAGTTTGTTGTAATTTTCAACACCAAGTGGTGTTTGAATATAAATGTGTTTTGAAGATTTCATTTCCAAAACATGTCGCTCTGCATCCAGTTTGTTTCCAGAGCTGCAGACAGTTGAGAACACTATGAACAAAGTTAAATGTGCTCTTGTTAAACTGACATGTTTAATTTGCTCCAGACATTTTATTCACTATATTTTCTGTAAAACAAAGCCTTTAAAATCTGAACAGATCACTTATTACTGATCATAGAGAGCCCCTACATTTACTGTGATAGTATCTTTTAAATAGCTGTAGATTGCATGACCTTTTTGCAGATGTATTAAGCGGCTAACAAAGTTATATCCATTGCCTTTGTAGTCGCTGTTAACCGCACCCTATGATTATAATGTAACGCTGCAGCCTCAGGGGCCATGCGCTCTGGGTTTTATTTTCTATACTCAACATATCCCTCAGCTCAGCCGAGCAATACTTTAAAGGACAGTCTTAAGAGTGGAACTATTAGAAAGTGAATATATTGATGTGGGTCATGTACGGTGGCCCTGGAGTTCAAGCGTCATGTTTTTTTTTAAATTTGTAGTTGTGGTTTGCACTTCAGGGCCAGTGTAGTCGTGGCTTACTGTGTAGCTGGCTTTTCAACTTTTATTAGTGTTTGTTTATGTCACAACGTCAGAACTCAACAGAATCTTATAGACAATTATTTCTAAAAGGACTTCCTGTTGAACTTTTTGTTAATGACAATCCCTACATTGATCTGCGTGTTGTCTCATCTCTCTGTTTCTGCTCTTCATCCTGTGAACTGAATCCTCTTCAAGGCCTCGCTCGCTGTTTTGGTCTCTTTGGTTCAAGACATGCTGGTTGCTGTATAACACCAACTACTTCTACCCACGTCCTTCATTCTGAAGTGTTTAATTGCACAACATACACATATGTGGACTTTTTAAATGTACACTTTGTCTTTGTTTTATTACCTTTTGATTGATACAGTCGAGAGCTTGTCATGTAAACCACACGTTGATTAGCTAAGAGTACGTCTAAAAGCTACGGCCTCAGGGTTGCACTGTAAAGCAGAATTATTAGCTTATATTGAGCCTAAAATCTGTTTTTATTTCTACACAACTGGCTCTAACTTTTGCAAGATAAAAATTACATAATAAAATCTTATTTCACAAAAAACTTGTTTTGTGGATATTTTCCAGACTATTGTGAAAATAGCTTTGGAATATGTAATGCAATATGGAACATATCCAGATAGAAGAATAAATATGACACTGGATACATTACTTAAGACAATAATTGTCCGACACAATTGTTGTAATAAATAAATAAAAATCATCTGTTTCTGTTCACACTTGGAAACAATTAATTCACTTCTTAAATTTTAAGTTAAAGCAGCATTCTGTGCAGCTGTCACAACAACAGCAGGGATTTATTCAACTACTTTTCATAATAATTAATAATTTTATGAATTAAATTAGTTATAATTCAGTTGATATTTTAATGATTTTGCACTGTCCATGAACCAAGACAATTATAAATACACTAGAAAAAAAAAAAACTCTTTAGTTACAAGATGACATTTGAAAAAGGAACATTTTTATTTATTTATTTATTTTATTTACCCTCCAATTGTTAGTATTTCCATTTCTTATTGATATATATATGCATATATAATAAATATACATATAATATAT